CTGTTACCTCTTAAACCGCGGAACTGATTTAGATGAAATTTGGTAAGTATAGAATATGTTGGAGTCGCAGGAAAGGACAAAGGATATTTTTTATCCAAAAAATCACCTTTTAAGAGGGTTCAAGGTTTATATGGAAAACCAATTTTTCCACGCAGACAAAGTTGCGGCTAAACTAGTTGTATTTTATCATTGACTAGCTGATAACTATACCGTTCGATACATAAATCACAGTACATACGAGTAGCTCTTAGTACACGCTCTCCATAGTAAACTTGCAAAAGACTGACAAGTAAGAAACTTTATTACTCTTTACAGTAAACGCTTTGAAGCTTAAATTCAAGAAGCCTCTTATCGCTTATCTTAATGAGCTGAATCTGGTTATGCGAACTATTTAAGTGGCGTTCAACTAGCTGGTAGAGATTGTGAGTGAAGTAGAAAATAACTAAACTGATACTTCAGATTTTTTTGCTAGATAAATGGGTCAGGCCGTAAATTTTGCCACATTAGATATAACATAACTCTCCGCCACATTTTAAAAAAAAAGTACGGTAATTACATTTTTTTCAATAACAGAATCATATTTCCTCACAAATGATGAATCGAGATCAATAAATATATTTAAATATCTTCAAAACCTTAGAAATTTATAAAATATTTTGCTATAAAAAGCGATGAATTTTTCGTAAAATACGCTTATCCGCCCCGGTAGAGGTGCACTTTGAGCATCAGTAAAATCAAAAATAAAAATCTTTTTGATAGTCTGTTTGCTTTTACGCTATACAATAATAGTTAGCTAGCCACATTTTAAATATCGTTTCCTATTACCTAAGAAATTTCATAAATTTTCACTCATTTTCGAAAAACGTTAAAATCCATTCCTTTGCGCTACTTTTTATTCCGCAACTAATAAATGCCCATTTGGTTGTGTTTAAAAATAGCAGTATTCAAGTCTGAGTAGTGGCAACACCGAATATACTTTGTCTATGGTCAATACGCTGTCAGCGGTCATATTTTTTGTCAGTCCAACATCAACATCGTTTGAAAGAAGGAAGTGTCATATTTTTTGCGGAGAGTGTTTTTTGATATATCACGGTAAGTTTTTGATTTATATCTATACTTATTATTGCGCACGATTTAATGAAATGTTTGACATCTTTCAAGGCTTAATTTACATTAAAAAATAGCTTATATATCAAGATATAATGGGTTTTGTTTGCGCAACAGTTGCGCAAAAATGACTTTATGCAACTTTGCGATACCAGGGGCGTAGAATTTGCGCTACTAATTTTACGCTACCAAATAAAGGAGCTTACACACATAGGCTTGCATGTGTTTTTTTAGCTTTTGTAATATTTGTGTTTTTTTTTGAGGTTTCGATTTTAGTTCCTGTGAAGGAATTGTATTTCTAGCAATAGAACTCTCCGCTTTTTTGTAACACCTTTTAAGACTTAAAGATAAGAATAAAAGTTGACGTTTGTCATACTTACCTCTTAAAAGTGTGTTTTATTTTGTAGCACTGTCCTTACGTTACATATCTTGTATGCACTCCTTAACAATTTTGCGTTACCATTTTACGTCACTCTGCGCTATGGACTCGTAGAAATTTTTGCGACACCATTGCGCTATTTGTGGCAAAATCTACGGCCTGACCCAAATATCAACTTGGTTAAGGTTTCAGTCAGGCTTGAACCTACTTCTTATTAACAGCAGTTAATGCATCAGCTTTGTCAGCGGAAGACGCATGTTCGAGTCCCACCTGAAAACTTGACAGAGTTGAATTTTTTGTGGTAAAAAAAATCTTTAGATTTAATGAATCGAGCAGATTAATGCTCTTAATAAAAAAATATTATAAAGTGATACTTCTTGAACATAAACTTGAGAAACATTGTCTATCAGTTTGTCCGTATCCGAGACTATTGCCCGACTAGTTCGATACTTAAATGAATAGTATGATGACGACATACACTTCTACTTATATAAAACTACTGGCTGTACCCCACTGTGTTACCCGCGGTTTATTAGGGATATTTTCCCGCAGTAAAATGTAGCCTATGTGATAATCCAGGGTGTCAGTCCGTGTCAGTTAACTCAATACCAAATTATATTAAAATCACTCTAGTCGTTCGACGTGAAGAAGTAACAAACATACACACTCACACCCTCAGAATTTTTCGCCTTTATAATATTAGTGTAATTATTATATTGTATAATGGAAAAAAAATATATCACTGGAACTGTTGACATCAAATTGCATTGCAGTTTGACAGATAAATGGTTTTTAAATGAATGTTTTCTATTGGAAAATAACAAAGCTTTCTGTACGACCTAACTGATGTTTTATACAACATCAAAGGCCGTGTATTCAAATTAGGCAATTCCTGTTCTTTCATAAATAAATAATGATGGTGGTTCCGATGGAAAACAGCGTTTGTGAAAATGTGAATATTTTAATGAATTTTAAACGGTTTTGCCGCAATTCCCTTCGTAATAATCTAAAATTACTAATAAATAAAAAAAATACTAAATATCCACATTGATGTGTCCCCGACTTGCCCTGACATCTCTTGAAACTTTACTCTAGGTATCACACAAATCGTCAACGCATTTTTATTATAATATATGTATTTAAATTAATAATTGACATTATAATAATAATTGTCTATCATACACTTACATATACATATATATATTACACTAGCTGACCCAGCGAACTTCGTACCGCCATAAAAAAATTTAATTAAAAAAACATTGTCCAGCGGACAAAATTGTGAATCTAAACCATTCTCAGATCCCCTTGAACACACACAAAAAAATTCATCAAAATCGGTCCAGTCGTTTAAGAGAAGTTCAGTGACATACACACTCACAGAAGAATTATATATATAAAGATATATACTTTTAAATATATATTATAATATATTTCTTACTAACAACTAAAAGAAACCTTAATTTATTCCAGAAAAATCTGAAGTGTAACTACTGTTACACTGGATCAGGGCCGGATTTAAAAGTGTGGGTTGTCCTGGGCATCGAAGGAGTAGATGCCCCTAAATTTGGTCCGGACCACTTAAGATTTTAACCCTTGTGGGGACCCCCACAGCTCCGCCTGCCCTGCCTTAAATCCGACCCTGCACTGTATATTTTCAGAGAGGAGATGAACTTCTTACATGGATTCACCGTGCGGGTGCTGGGCCATCGTGTGGTAGAGAGAGAAACTCTGAGCAGTTCCCGGGACTTGCAACCCAGGTGTACATTTAAGGAGGCTACAAAATTTGTAACTGCTAATATATGCCTAAATATTTTAACTAAGCTCTATAAAGTATATGCAGCTTAGATACTAAAAGATAATGTTTATTTTGAATGGAAAAAACCCAAGCCCAACAGAAACGAAATATATTTTAGATTTTAAGCATTATTAAATGTTTTTACTTATTTTTCCATGATTAAGTACTTTTATATTTAAGCACTTATTATTACTAAAACACTGGTAAACACTGGTTTTGTCACACCGAACTTTATGATAATTTTTATTAGTTTTGATGTACCCTCATTCAAAAATAATTATTATTTTGTTTCAATCACATCCAGTTTTTTTGTGACGGTATATATTAATTACTGACCTCATTACGTGTTTGCCTCATTTTGTGTTTACAATTGCATTTAACACACTTATGTTTGATGCTTTATAAATATGCCGTGAAAGTGTTGTAATAACCCAGACACTTGTTGTTATGTGTGTGGAGAATAGGGATGATGACAAATTTTTTTTCTTCGTTTATCAAGTAGATTATTAAAAAGTATTGGACACGTATTTTTTCTTTTTTCACATAATATAAACATGGCAGAGATATATTGATTTGATAAGTCGCATGACGTCATGTTTTGTACAATTTTCACTTAAAAGTTACGTCACGAGCCCCTACTCCCAAACTTTGACGCGCTTTATCTTTGTCATTTCTTGGTTGATTGCCCTAAGAAAAAATACGTCCATTATTTTTTGATCATCTAACTGACGGACTAATAGAATTTCGTTTACTTTACCCCGTCATCATGCCTATTAACTTAATACGCCAACGCCATTAATGGAAAAGTGCTATTTAGACTATTTTGGCTCTCCTGTGCGCCACTAAAATAAATCCTGGGTTCCACACATATATGTTGTGTGCGTCTGTGAGACTCCTATTAGATTGGGCTAAACAAGAATCTAGTCATTTGCCTTTTGGTATATCAATGATTTAGACGGAATTAAAAGATAAAGTAAATGATCATCTGTAATCTCATCTGGATTACTTTTCCGCGAATTTGGGTGTTGAAAAATAAGGCAAGGGATTTCATCAAGACATTTCCTTAATAGAAAAGCGCTATCAAGGGAAATGGAGTCTAGGAAACCTAATTTAATTATTGTTGGAAACTTAAAAGAGTCCTACCAAAAACCAAACATTCACGAAAATCATAGCTATTTATTGTACTTAGGGGAATATTATATCTAAGTGTTAGTGTTTTTTGTACTTTTTATGAAAATATATGACTTGATGTCACAAAGAAACCTGATATGTATATTTTTTCCATTGATTTATTATTGTTTAGTGACCACAGTACATTCAAAATGTTGTATAAGTTTACGTGTGGTAAAAAAAAGTTAAAATTTTGTTGATCAGTTAAATCAGAGATACCTCGCGCGCAAAAATAAGTATCACACTTTCAAAGTTGCAATAACTTTTTAAGTACCCAAGATATATTTAAAAAATAAAAAGGAGTTTAAAATAAGTTTAATTTTGTATCTGTAATACAAAAAGAAAGCTGATAAAATTTCCTAAAAAACGTTTTTTATTTTAAATCTGTTATTTCTATAGTTTAGAAATAATTGAAATTTAAAACAATGTGATACTTAGTTTTGCAGGCCAGTAGACGGGTCGTTTGTGTAGGTTTTGGGTTTTTTTATCATTGTCCTTAGTTTTTTATAGTAATATACTATATAATTTGTAGTTTCAATAACTTACCCGCAGCCGCTTCTTGTGCTTCCTGAAATATAAAAAAAAAGTATAAAAATGTGATGAAATTAAAGATTTAAATAAAATCGTTGCAAAAGCCAGCAATTCAAGTCTAATGTTATTATAAAAATCAATAAAATTTTAAAACATTTCTTATCTAATTAATAATATCTATCTCGTTCCAATAAATTATAATATAAAAAGCTACTATTGTTTTTATGGAAACTATGCGATGGCAGTCGAGAAAATTGGTAGAATAATGGTTACTGCGAGAGCTGTAGTAGCAAAGATAATAGTCCGTAATCACGCAATAAAGTTTGAAAACAATGGCTGTAAACATTAGTCGAAGCTAGATAAAACTATGAAAAGTGGTATGTAATTAAAAACTGTGCCTGAACTATTAGAATTAATAAAAACTTATTAGTCTGTGGTCTGAGATTTCAAATAAGATGTCTTAACGCTGTTGAATTTGTATCCTTTCGGCGTTTTGTAAATATTTACCTATATCATACTGACAACCATTTAATTTAATTGACGCCTCTGGGTGTGGCCGTAAATGTAGATAACATTTGATTGCTTTCCTACTACAGGATCGTTAATTTTTTCAGCAAACACTGTTTAAATTCTTAACCGGTCGGTAACGATGAACTGATTAAAGCGAACCTACTTTGATCTATCTGTAATGTCACATGCCAATCGTTTGGTACTCAGCCAAAGCAATGCATTGTAAAGCAAGAGACCACCATCGATCAAATAACTATACGCGGTTATCAGATAAATGTGCCATGTATAATCTCATAAACATCAATACAGTTTTACCAAAATATCATCGGCTTATTTGTAAGTCAAATACAGATAAGCAAGATTAGATCCCACGCTCGAAGGATGGAATATTAACAATCCCACAAACAAAGTTTGTTTGGGTACCTATGTAATTTTATTGTTCATAAAAAAATCTCTTTTCAGGTTTCCGTGTGTTTACGTCTGCTTTTATAGCTGTGGAGCGAACAATTTATGTGGTAATACAGATTCATCGTGAATACGAAGCGTATTGATTAACGTTGTCTAGTGAAGTGTAGTAGTGTAGATGAGTGGTGGAAAATTCGTTATTTTTACATTTTGATGTGAAGCATGCAGAAAATATTCGAGAAGAATGTATGCTTTTAAAGAGAATCTGTGATGATAAATCAGCGTTGCTATATCGAAGAAGCTGAACTTTGCAATCTACAGCAGCACTACACTCCTCGTAACACTTACCGCCCTATCAATTCCTTTTTCCTTACGTTGTTAAATATACATTGATACTTACGAATTTACTTCTGTCTTTCTCTTTTTGTTTTAGTTCTGCCTCTTTCTTAGCTTGCTGTATGAGTTGATCTACAAATTCTGTAGCTTGCCGTAGTTTCTCTGGGTCGCCTTTGAAGGCGGCGACCCTTTCAGCGAGGGCTATGGTATCACTGTCCTGTATCATTTTCAATTTTCACTGATTTAAAGTCAGACACACGAAAACTAACTTGTTGCTAGTTTTACGAACGGCTGGCACCTGCCATAGTTTTAGGATAGGGTCGGACCCTTCACTTGTTCCGTGTAACAGACGGCTGATTAGCGCGGGGGGTATTGTCAGTCATTATTGTGAACTACCGACTCTCAGAATGCGCGACGCGCTCCTCGACCTGCGTCTATCGAAGTACTGACTGTGTGTTAAAGCGTCCGGGCTCCGATCATGCGCCGAAGAGTGGACTCACCTTAAACACGTTCACGAAATCGAAACGAAAGCGTATTCACCGTACATAACTGCGTGCTCTGAGAGAAGTTGGCTGCTCACAGGATGTAAACTGTGCGGTGAACATCGAATTCAGCGCTAGAAATTTATCAGGTGGATCATAGTGGAGGCATAAATTGGTATTGGTACCTATAGGTTAACTCTAATCACTTACTGTGAGGAAACGATCTCAATGTGTAACTTACGATCTTAATGTATTCTGTTGCATTTTGAGTAGAAATATTAGAATCCAAAATAGGTACCAAGCTAGATGAAATATTCCTCTCCAGTTGGAAAGTAAGATTTTTGTTGATGTTTTGTTCATTATCATTGAATTTTTTTCTGAATATTAAAAGCCTTTTATTTTAACAGTCAAATAAATTGTAAAGAAAAAATTTAAGTAAATTATATAACATAATTCAGGGAACATATTATTTTAAAACATAAATGATTAAATAAAATTTAACTAGAAAAAAATCCACATGGACCAAGTAGCATACGGGACTCGAACCCGCACCCTTCGCTATCCGGGCTAATGCACTGACCATTATGCTATCGCGGCCCTGATGGCCGTGTCGAATTTTCTCTAGCCCTTCTTAGGCTGCAAAGCAGCGCCATCTTTTTTTGCATTGTAGGTAACCCACAATGTCGAATGAATACCTTTACAAGTATTAAACATTTGAAAGAAGTAATAACAATTATAGTTATATTTTTATTTTTTAAACATTTAAGTGCTAGATGATTTAATGTAAAGACAATTTTACTAGAAATAATTCCACACGGACCAGGCACAGACGGGACTCGAACCCGCACCCTTCGCTATCCGGGCAAATATGCACTGTTCATTATGCTACCGCGGCCCTGATGGCCGTGACGAATTTTCTCTAGCCTTTCATATGCTGCAAGGCAGCGCCATCTCTTTGCATTGTAGGTAACCCATAATGGAAATGATTTTGATTTTTCAGAGCTTCGTATTATTTTAAATAATCGTCGCTCCTTTTGGACGCCAATACACAACACTGACGGAAATAGAAAAGCATTTTAATGAATTTATGATTATATATAGTTATCCTGTTCTATTGATGTACGGTACCAAAACACATAACTGAAATAATCTTACCGAGAAAATTAATTGAAAACTGCCATAAAACAGCTGAACGTTGCGTTCACTTGAGAAATTTCACTTAGCGCCTTCAATGACTTAATTGGACACTATTTTTTGGCAAAATAGACTACGTTGACGAAGTGACCTACAAACTATAGGACAAAGTTATATGTAAGATAAACGTGACGTAACTTTTTTTTTATTTATGGTTGATTAAAAAATGGTGTCTGTGGTTGTGTTTTTGACCCTTATACGTATTAGGTTGAATTGTTTAGTTAAATACTTTCCTTTATATAGATAACTACAGTCGTAAAATTTACAGCACAGAAGTCTGTAAAAAACTGGACAAGCGCAAGTCTGGCCTCGCTGTATTAGGGTCCCGTGTTATCATTTGTTTATTTTCATCAAAACTTAAAAAGTTCATGTTGAATCGGCGTTTTCACTATTTTTTGTTTAAAAACATCATGTGGGACATCATATACCAACATTTCACATTTTTAACGAGTTTTGATTTTGAGATAAATCAGGATAAACCCTGTAATAAAAATGGTCCAAAAATCACAACTATGACAACCCCCCATTTCCTTGTTATTTAAAATAAATACTAATAAAAATTATGTTTACTTATCTCATATACTGAGTCAGCTCAATGATGTGTTACATGCTGAGTTAATCGTTAGAAAAATCGTCTCCTTTTCATGTAAAATAAAAAATACCAGTGACATACGGACAGACACACAGACGACAGAGTGACAGCAATAGAGTTCCGTTTTTACTATTTAAGTACGTGACCCTAACAAGCAGAATGATATAAAATAAGGAATCAGGATGGGTTTAACTGGCTTTATTAATATTTGAAAATCTATTCGGAAATAATGTTTAATAGGGGTGACGACGGGGTAAGGTAAACGAAATTCTATAAGTCCGTCAGATGATTCAAAAAATTATAATAATAATAATAATTTATTCTCAGACAATATTATACAGTCCATAGAATGTTAGTAACGATGTAACTTAAAAACACATAATGGAAAAGTATTTTATCTTTTGTCAATCAACCAAAAAATTACAAAGATAAAGCGCGTCAAAGTTTGCGAGTGGAGGATTGTGACGTCACTTTTAAGTACAATTACAAGGTACAATTTTACCAAAACGTGACGTCATGCGACTTTTCATATCAATATATCTCTGTAATGTTTTAATTATGAGAAAAAAGAAAAAATACGTGTCCAACACTTTTTGGTAATCTATCTGATACACGAAGAAAATTAAAAGCCAAACCTTTAATAAGTTCAAGTCAAAACTTCGTAAGTGGTTAATGAAATCACGTTTTACAGTATGGTTGAGTTCATGAATTATGGTAGAACTTGATGCAAGGGTTGAAGACGATAATGGGTTTAAATATAACATTAAAATTTTGATATTCACATAATATTAAATAAAGATGTCGATTCTGGCAGGGTTATCTAAACTTAATACTAAATTTAACATCAGTCTCTCCTTTTCATTCTGTACCTATAGAGAATGATAAGGTACTGTTGTCAAATTTAAGTTTAGGTTTATGGAATCATGTCAGAATCGACACCAGTGTCTACCAATGTGCATCTTAATAATCAGAAATCATGCGAGAGTTGCAGACCGACTAGGCGGTAGCACTTTCACACAACATACCTTAAACGTGTTTATAGAATTGTATAAGAATCAGATGAAAGCGGTTTGATGGAATATGTTCCTCTTTGAATACGAATGTTCCCTTCGTAACAGGGGAAAATGAGCAAATTCAATTGACCGAGGCGTCGTGTTACCGCATAAAAGAAACAAAGGAAAAAGGCAAATTGCTAAACACGTGTCTCCTTTAGTATACACCGATAGGAAGATCGAGCCTGTTAACAATATCTGCTTCTATTATTCGTAGACGAAAGGCATTGCGGAGCGGAAATTATGAAAAAATCTTTACCTTTTTGATGTTACATAGGTACTCGCTTACAAACACATTATGAAACAAACCTTGCTATTTTAATATCATGATTCACTTTAATTGATGAGACGGTTGTAAAACTATTATAAACGTTGGATTTGCAGAAGCAAAAGTTAGGTAAGTACTTATTTTTAAGTCTCGTCGGAAATCGTATCCCAAGGGCTAAGTTAGGCCCCTGAAACAGCCTGAGATATGCCAATAAGTTTTTGAAGTTATACTTCTTTAGGCGCGTTATGAAAAAATTATGAGAGTGAAATTTTAAGATGCGCGCGTATCACTGTAACACAAAATTTTAAAAGCATGAAGTTGGTCGCTTTAGCGACCAACTTCATGCGTTACTTTTGTGTTTACCGCACATTATGAAAATCTACCAACAAAATAGAAATAGAATCTCTATTTAGTGGGTGCTAATGCTAACGACTGCATTGTGAAGGCCTATCAAAAGTATTTATTAATCTGGAACAACGGAACCAAAGCGCGATTCAGGAGACTACAGCGCCATCTCTTGACCATTGGTGTAGTAGAACCAAAAACCACATCTTTATTTTTTGTAATAAAGTAACAGTTATAGGTATTCATATTTATAATATCAAAAGTATTTATTTTTCTGAAATCTCTATTTAGTGGGGTGCTAACGACTGCATTGTGAAGGCCTATCAAAAGTATTTATTAATCTGGAACAACGGAACCAAAGCGCGATTCAGGAGACTACAGCGCCATCTCTTGACCATTGGTGTAGTAGAACCAAAAACCACATCTTTATTTTTTGTAATAAAGTAACAGTTATAGGTATTCCATATTTATCCACATGTTTCTAGTTTGTATATTCGGAATACGTGTTTGAGTTTCATACAAGTGCAAATCACATATGTTCTAATAAATTATATTCAGTAGCGATTTTAATTGAATATTTTGATTATTTATTTATTTTTTCAAATTAAAACTGAACTTTATTGACTGTGTCCTTTTCCAGACTTTTTATTAATTTATTGTAATCAATTATTTGCATGCAATTAAAAACTAATTTTAAACGATGCCAAAGAAGGATAACTTCTCACGCGCCTACATAAGTACACGCACCCATTTTTTTTTATAGATAGTTCCGACAAATGACTCCAACCCACCTAATGTTAAGTGAAGGTGAAGTCCAGACGCGAAGATAGCTGATACAGCAGTTCTACCTGCCACACCAGCCATCCTCACCCTGCCGGCCTGCATGTTGCTTCTTCACGCCTCTTTTAAAGGATCCCAGGTTGTAAGAGGGAGGGAACACGTGAGCGGGCAGAGAATTCCATTTACGGATAGTACGACACAGAAACGAGTCATCAAATTTCTTTGTACGCGTTGGAATTGTAGCCACAGTTAGACGGTGACAACGTAAGCCAGCGCGCGTGGTCCTCTGAATAAGAGAGAATAACTCCTCAGAACACTAACTAACATTCTAACTTCTTCAACAACAACTAGTACTAACATTCTCCATATTTTAATGTCCTTGTGAAGGATGATTGATGCGCATTTAGAAGAATTTATTGCGACATGAAGATACTTACTTTCAAACCAATTGATTCCTAATCCCGACCCACTTGCCCGATAATTCGCTTAAAAATGTCAAAACAGACAAGTTTTCCTTTGTAGAGACTGCGTAATTACACTTAGAACTTAGGACAGGAGCTTCTAACAACAAGGAAACTGTATCAATATGGATCAAAGGTATTTGA